CCAATGTTTTCACACTGTAGTGTTGAAGGGGTTTCGTCTAATTTGACGTGGTTGACTATGTCTTCCTTTGGAATTTGTGCAAGAACTTCGTCATTGTTGGAGCACCACTTTCGGAGCTTGAACCCGGCTGGTAGCAGTATTTTGTTTAGCTCTTGTTGAATCTGAACTGCTTCTGGGATGCTATTTGCTCCTGTGAGACAGTCGTCAACATAAAAATCATGCTTGAGCACGGCTGCTCCAAGCGGTAAATTCTTTTTAGTTTTCTCAGCCAAGTGATCCAAGCATTTTGTAGCTAGGAATGGAGCTGATGTTGTACCGTATGTTACGGTTTTAAGTCGATAATACTTGAGTTCGTCTGATGGATTCTTTCGCCAGACGATTAATTGATGAAATTGATGATCAGGATGTATCCATACCTGGCGATACATTTTCTCTATATCGGCTGTGAACACGTACTTGTGAGTGCGGAACCGTAGTAAAATTGCAAACAGTTCGCTCTGTACGGTGGGTCCAGCATACAATATATCATTTAACGACTTGTTGCTGGTGGTCTTGCAGTAAGCATCGAACACTACCCGAAGTTTTGTAGTGCTGCTCTCAGGTTTTAGCACACAGTGGTGCGGATAAAAGTAGTGATCCGTAGGTATCCTTGTGGGAGGCACTTCTTTCATGTGTCCAAGGCTTTCATACTCGTCCATAAAATCTACGTAACCTTTCCAGACTTCAGGTGATGTTCTGCGCTCTAGTGCCAGGAACCTGTTAGTTGCAGTTTTCTGCGATGCCCCCAGTGCTGATGATTGCTCAGAAAAGGGAAGTTTTACTATGAACCTTCCATCTGCTGCGAATTGGAGATTTCCTAGGAAGTGTCTTTCGCAATGGGCCTCTATCGGTGATTTTGGTTTCTCTTCCGTTTCTAGGTTTTCCAAAGTCCAGAAACGTTCCAAAAGCGTGTCGATTTGGTCCTCTGGTTACAGGCGCGCAAATTGCTGCTTGGTTGTTTTCTGCAGATACTTTCCCGGCGACAATCCAACCAAGTTTAGTATTCTGTAGGACCGGGCCGCCTGGTTTTTAACATCATCTGGTTTGGCAGTAGTAACGAATAGTAGTGCTCAGCTCCGATAAGCATGTCAATTTTTCCTGGCTTATCAAAGTTTGCATCTGCCAGAGCGATGTTTTGAGGGAGTCGTAGATTTGTTGGATCTAGCTGATGGAGCCGGTTGATCGGCTATAATGTGTGGTAACACAAAAGCCTCGACTTGCTGAGTAAAGTCATTATGCATTGATTTCATTTGCACATTCACTCTAGCTCGACTAGTCTTAGGATTGCTTCCAATACCTTCGATACGTAATGAAGTACCGTGGAGCCTTAATGATAGCTTTGAAGCCATTCGTTCGGAGATCAAGTTTATTTGAGATCCTGAATCAAGCAGGCTCTGAAAGTGGCCACCTGGCCATTGCTTGCTTTTACTAATACCTTGACTGTGGCCAGCAGATTGTAACTCTTGTTACTTGCTGCCCCTACAGAAGGTGATTGTGGTTCAGTTTCTGCACCTGATGACGTTTCAAGATGCAGCAGTGTATGGTGTTTTTATCGCATTTAAAACACAAACGGCCTCGGCATTCCTTTGCCTTGTGGTCGCTGCTGAAGCAGTTGACACACATTCGTTGTTTTTGTACCCAGTTAAGTCGTTCGGGTATTGGTTTATTACGGAAGTCATCACATTTGTATAGCCAATGATTCCGTTTGCAAAATGGGCAGCTTGGTAATTTTCCAGCGCTGGCAGAAGTGCATGTTGGCCCCTTCTGATCCCTTTTTGCTTGTTGACTTCTTTTTCCTGTTCCCAGTACGCGAATTCTCTGGTCGAGGGAAGTTAAGTATTGTGTCGAGACCTTGCAGTTGTCGAGAACCATCCAACGACTGTTCGTACAAGGCTCTATTAGTAATATCCAATTTTTGCTTGATGATAGCAATCAATATTGTATCCCAGCTGGATACATCGATTCCCTAGTCCCCTTAATGATGCCAGGGACTCGATAGTTGTTTATATACAACTCTTTCAGTGATTTCGGATCGTCACTATTGGTGTGGTGTTGCAAGAGCCGATTAAGAATCGTGTCGGCTACGTGTCGGGGATTGTTGTATTCATCAACCAATATGCCCCATGCGCTTGCGTAATTTTTCTTCTTTTAGATCGATGTGTCTTATCAATCTCTCTGCCTCTCCAGTTACGGTGGTTTTTAGATACCACATTTTCCGTACTGTCGGCATGTTGGTGTCATGGACCATGCATTTGAATAAATCAAAAAACTGCGTCCATTTGAGTAGATCCCCATCGAATTTGGGGGATGCTAACTCTGGGCAAGTGTACATCTTCATTGCTCGATGCATTAGTTTTTGCCCCTAACACCTTTTGGATATCCCTTTCCAGTCGGAGAAATGACTGCATGTCGTATCCTCCCCTGACCGGGTCTTCGTGTTCTTCATGAACAGCGAAGTGGATCTCCTGAACTTGTGACCATAGTGATTTTATCAAATCACTTGTAATGGTTTTTCCAGTCTCTGAAAATTCTTTCAGAGCCCGATGGATAGAGTCTGATATGGCTCTTTGTCGGCGACATGCCGACATGAGTTTGCCCACAGGCTGCTGTATGCTTGCAGCGTCTGCGTTTCCTTGGGCATGGCTCGTAGTTTGAGCCATTGCGTCAGTTATGGCGCTTCGATACTTGTCGCATGAGTCACGACAGTCTTTGTAAAAGTTTAGATATTCCGAGGTTCTATATTTCTCCAGAACATTACGGTCATTTTCCGCAAATCGATTCCACGCTTCATCGATTGCGGCCAACTTAGATTTAAAGTATGTTGGGTTTTGTTTCCTCTCCTCAGAATCTTTCTTGAAATTGCGGATCATTTTGAGATCTCTTGACTGATCTCTTCCTGCAAGTCTAACGCCTCTGTGGCTGCTCGCTCCTCCATGCTAGTCATGTTGAAAGTGCTATATTCTTGACCCGTTGGGAGTGTTTTATTCGCTTTTAAGCTGGATACGCTCCGTTTCGCAACCGTTTGTGGTCTAAAAATTAGCACTTGTTCAATTGACTTGGAGAACACACTAGACTCTGAGTTCTAGTGGAATGATTATTTCAATGGATGCCCAGGATTGTTCCAAGAGTTGGGGAACTTGACTCGTGGGACTTGAATTTTCCTTAGGACTTGATCGTCAGGACCTGAATTGTCCTTAGGATTTGATCGTTAGGATGTGAATTGTCGTCAGGACGTGAATTGTCGTCAGGACGTGAATTGTCGGCAGGACGTCAGGACGTGAATTGTCGGCAGGACGTGAACTGTCGGGGTCACCAAAATGTTTGTATGAGTGTTTGTTAGTGTGAGTAGGCTTCGATGCCTGGCAAAATAGCACATAAACTAATTGCCTTGTTTGTGTCGCACCCAGCACTTGAACTAGGTGGACTGCAGTTGGAGGAGTAAAGATCTCTTTGAATTGCAGATGATTACTGATTTATTGATTCAAACTTAACGATATTTATAGCTAACAAATGTGCTTGCATTTACGAATATTAATGATAAAGAATAATGTAGGTTGCTAGTGCATGCGGAAACGAATATGCTTCTGGTTACAAATGTTGATGTGCAAGAATAATGTAGGTTGTAATGGTATATGCAGAATGATGCTATTGCTCCATTCCACTTCATCGTCGTCAGCAGAATCTACATATGCGCTTGACCTGGTAATCTATACTTTATTTTGGCAGCATATGAGAGTGCTGCGACTGACGAATTACAGATTATGTATTGTTATGATTATGAATTATATATATACTGCAGCGACTGAACAGCATCGTATGTGCAGATTTCGTGGGACCACTACCGCGTTCCAAGGCAGGAAACACAATGCTGCTGGTCTTCTTCGATAGTTTCACCAAGTGGGTGGAACTGGTCCCATTACGGAAAGCCACCACCACCACGCTGATACAGGCGTTCCGCGAAAGAATCATTGGGAGGTTTGGAGCTCCAAAGAAACTGGTGTGCGACAATGGCAGCCAGTTCACCAGCAAGGCCTTCAGAGAATTCCTCAAGGAGACGGGCGTGGAACTTCAGTACACGGCCCCGTATTGCCCACGCGAGAATCCCACTGAGCGAGCGAATCGCACGGTCAAGACCATGATTTCGCAATACGTCGGCGGAGACCAGAGTACTTGGGATCAACTGATACCCGAACTGAGCCTCGCCATCAATACCAGCGTCTCGGAGACGGGGATACAGCCCCGCCTTTCCTACAGGCGCGAGCCGCGGTTACCAGGCGCATGGTACGATCAAGTGACACCGGGAGCAGGCGTCGCTACGGAGACCCCTGTAGACCGAGCTGGACGGCTGAAGGAGATTTTCCGGATCGTCCAGACAAACATCCAGAAGGCCAGCCGCGACCAAGGACGGCAGTACGACCTCAGGCGTTGGGCATGGAGGCCCACCATCGGGACCCCCTGGTCCTCGTGCGCCAACATCACCTATCCAAAGCAGTGGATGGGTTCGCTGCCAAACTCGCGCCCAAGTTCGACGGGCCATATAAAGTGGTCGCCCTTCCGTCCCCAAAGATAGCCCGAATCCGCTTGCCCGGGAAGGGAAAGGGCCGCCTTGCCAATATCGCCGACTTAAAAGAGTTCCATTCTTCTCTTCCCACAGGTGATGCAGACACCGACGACGACGCCGTGTCGGAGGACAGCGCCGGCGTCCAACCCGGGTCCGACAAGCCACGGTCACCCGACCACGATATCAGCGAGGGGTGAATTTAAGTAGCCCACTAAGTTCCCTCTAACCCTAAGACCATTGTTAGCAATTAGATTAACCTTAGAACTTCTGCCTACTACTACTACTGCCCGTTAGGACATTAACATTTAAGTATCAGTTAGCCTAAGTTTGGATAGTTCTCTTTCTCCCCCTAGACGTGACTACGTACGCGCACACTCACGCCAACGAGTACGCAGTCAGGATGGATCGCATCGTCATCGACTCAAGCGACGAAGAGAACGTGGCTCCGAACGGACACGATGGCCGACCTGCGACCCCCGAGATCCCCGGATGCGCCCTGGCACGTTTTACGTCGGCAGACCCACCAGAGCCTGCCCAACCGGGATTCGACAGACTCGAGGCCCTCCCCGAGCCCCGTCGCCCCCGATACGGCCCACTGCGTCCAGAGCGCCACCGCGCCGGGCCACGCCGCGCCTCATGTCCGAGTCCTCGGACGAATCGCCACCAGCATCGCCACCGCAGCGCGCCGCGCCAGCAGCGCAGCGCCCCATGTCCGAATCCTCGGACGAATCGCCACCCACATCGCCACCAACGCCTCCTCGACCCTCGGGCCGCTCGATCTCCCCGTTCTATGTGGACGGCACTGGGCGCAAAATCCCATGCTCCGAGGCTCCGCCGGCCCGACTGGACTTTCTGAACCTGGGCTACACGGGATCCTATCGTGGCCCGTCAGATGCTAACGCCCCACTGGCGTTCACGAGCCAACAAGCGCTCCGCATCATCGACCAGACCTACGACAACGCCCCACTGGCGTCCACGAGCCAACATGCGCTCCGCATCATCGACCAGACCTACGACGACGCACCGCTAGCATCTTCAAGCCAAGCCTCGATCCCCACCGCCGACGAGACCACCGAGCAGGGCTACCAGCCCACCGGGAAGGCTATGCAGTGGGAGGCCGAGACCAGTGATAGCGAAACGGAGGCGGGACAGAAGTTCCGACGCAAAGAGGCGCAACCCCCGACTACCGCCGAACATTGCCGCGCCAAGCCGTCGAACCTCGGTCCACCGCCGCGGGATATCCACCGAAAGCAACGCGCTGCCCAACGCCGACCCACAGCCGCTCCACTATCGACGAGGAGGTCACTCCCCAGCCACTCCACGTGTCGGCTCCGGAGATCGCGGGTTCGATCTCTCTCCAGGCACGATGGACATATTAATGGAGGAGCTCGAGCCTACAGTCGAGGGTCTTCTACAGGAGTTAATCCCAGACTGGGACCCGACTGCACCTCCGACAGCGGCAGCCCCGGCCACCACCGCCGACGAGGTCCCACCTCCAGCGCCGCGCACCCCTCGCCCAGTCCCTGCGGCCACCACCGCCGACGAGGTCCCACCTCCAGCCCCTTCTTGTGCCCGTAGCCGCGGTGCCACACCCGAGTGCACCCGCCCCGTAGCCACTCTTAGATTAGGGACACTTCGACACACGCTGCCGCCACGCCCGCACTGGGCATTCCGCGCACCGTGCATCACCACGGTGACAAGTAAAACTCTGCCTGGTCGACCCGTAGCTAGCTTCCGCGCCCAACCGGAGTGAGCTAACGTCTCTCTGACGCCCTGGCCATTTCCCCGACCCACGTCGCCCGAATTCTGGGCGAGATCAAGCTAATTCCGGCAGGAGTCCGCTGGAGTTGCCACTCCGCGCATCCGCGAAAGCAGTACACGCAAGCAGTGGGCGCAAGCAGTGCCTCAAAGCAGTTCGCGACGAGCAGCTTTGGTCAGGGACCGACCGATCAAGCAGATCGACGAGTCGATAAAAGCAGCGCGGCGGCCAGCCATTGACAAGCAGCGCGTGTGCCCCGCCTGCCCCTGAGGCGCCGTCCCTCGACGATCGGTGCGATTAGTGCGCGTAAGTTCGCAACCCGGGTCCCATACGCTGTTATAATAATTTCCTACAAATATTTCCGTCCCCTCTAAATAAATTTCTTGAAGAGGATCCCTGGTCACGACTGGGATCTATCCCGGCCGGAGAGATTCGTTACAACGCACAGTGGGCCCAATAGCTCTGCTAGCAGAATTAAATTAATAACTTTAATAAATTAATAGATATTTTAATGAAACTTTGTATTTACAGTTTTTAATTCATTTTTACGTATATTCTCAAAATTTTAATGTCCTACGTTAGGTATTTCTCATAGCTCCCATACAAATGTTAAAAAAAACCATATTCAGCAATATAAATGTTCACATTTTTTTTTTAAATTTTTAAGTGTTTTGTTTTTTAATTTGCATTTTAACTAATGAGTTTGTTTTTCTAAATATTATTCGCTACTATTATTCGGAATCTGAAGATTCAGAATCATTATATAAATGTGGGAAATTTATTAGAAGACCAGTAACAACTTTATCAAATTTAATAGATTTAACAGAATTTGTTGACATTTTAGACAATGATGTTTTTAGTGGATCAGAAGACACGAGTAATGCGTGCATAACATCTTCCATTGTATTAGATCTATTATTCTTTCGAGAATGATTCTCCCGTATATTCCGGCAATCCTTATTCCAACATCTACATACAGTGCAAGCGCTTCATCAGGTGAGAAGGGAACAGGTAATTTCACTGGTGTGTCCAATGACTTCTTTATTTGTTCTCCAGCACTCTCATCTGTATTACAAGACGTTGATGCACTATGTACAGTACATATCAAGTGGAACTTGCGACACCAAGCACGTGCTTGTTCTTGTTAGCAATTAGTAAACGCGAAGGACTTAAAAAAAAAAAAGGATGCGGGGAGACTACTACTGGCGTACTGCCGGATTGGTTGCTTGCATGCGTAAGTGGGTTAAGATTGAAGTTTTTAGTTTTGGGAGGCTATCATCGTTAGATATTATTGTGTACAAATCGTTATAATTTGCACAGAGGACTTTAGAGTTCATGCAGTTCAAAGGATGTTCTACAGTGGGGCAAAACTAATGGTAAAAAGGATCTAGTGTTTCTTATTGGTACGTAAAAATTTAGCTGACCGAGCAAGTCAGTACTTTCCACGTCACCACGGATTAAGTTGTGTAAAAATGTAATACCTAGCATGGTTCTACGATCAGATAAGGAGGGTAAGTTAATTAGTAAGAGTCTACTAGAATAAGACGGTAACCTCTGGTTTGCATCCCAGTTTAAACCGCGTAAAGCGAAAAGTAAGAAGTTCTTTTTGAACCGATTCTATGCGTTTACTATGGACGCCATACTGAGGGCTCCAAACGCAGGATCCATATTCTAAAATAGGACGAACAAGTGAAGTATATAACGTTTTTGTAACATAGGGGTCATTGAATTCCTTCGACCACCGTTTAATGAAACCAAGCACACCCCTGGCTTTATTCACCATGCACGAAATATGATCGATAAAGTCAAGTTTAGGATCCAGACGGACACCTAAATCATCAACTATATTAATTTTTTCCAAAGAGCAGCCGTTTAGCGTATAAGTTGCAGGCTTAGGAGTGACACGGGAGAATGTCATTAGCTTGCACTTAGAGCCGTTTAAGTTTAATAAGTTTATGCAGCACCATGTTTGAAAATTGTTAAGATCTGTCTGTAAGTCTGATTGGCAAGTAGCATCGTTATATTGCACACAAAGCTTGACGTCATCAGCATACATAAGTACTCTGGAGTTGGTCAAAACTTCGGGCAGATCGTTGATAAATAACGTAAACAGTAGGGGACCCAAATGACTCCCTTGCGGGACGCCAGATGTAACCCTAAGAACATTAGATAGTTTATTTTCGAAAAGGACCTTCTGCGTCCTGCCATTTAGATAACCTGAGATCCAATTAAGAAGATCAGTCGGAAATCCCATTAAATCGAGTTTCCGAACAAGAAGAGAATGGTTAACAGAGTCAAATGCTTTACTGAAATCAGTATAGATTACATCTGTCTGAAAGTTATTTCGGTATCCCTTTATAATAAAGGAAGTAAGCTCCAACAGATTCGTTGTAATTGATCTTCGCCTAATAAAACCATGTTGACATGGAGAAATAATTGACCTACACAGGTGCTGCAGATGAGGAGTAATAACATTTTCGAACAGTTTAGGGATGGCCGACAACTTAGAGATACCTCTGTAATTGTTGGCATCCAATTTGCTACCTTTTTGTGGAGTGGAATAACGAATGATTCCTTCCAAATAAGGGGAAAGTGGGAGGTTTCTAAGGATAAGGGTAACAATTTGAGAAGTGGATTGCACAGGGCTTCGGCACAATTCCCTAAGCACACAGCCTGGTATTCCGTCGGGACCTGGTAAAAAAACTGACTTAACACGATGAAGATCCCTAAGATTCCCGGCCCTGTAACGAGATAAGCGAGTCAGGGATCCACACTGACCCTGATAAGATCGCCGCGATTCGCGAACTACAACCGCCTACGAATGTCCGTGAATTACGACGCTGCCTCGGTGTCGCGTCGTGGTACCGCCTACTACAAAGCATCGACGGGGTAGAACGAGTCATAGCTTATGCCAGTCGACGATTAACCGGAGCCGAGGAAAATTACTCAGTAACAGAAGAGGAATGCCTCGCGATCGTATGGGCCATTCGCAAAATGCGTTGCTACCTGGAAGGATATCGGTTCGACGTCGTGACGGACCATCTGGCTCTTAAATGGTTAAACTCAATCGACAACCCAACCGGACGAATCGCCAGATGGGCACGCGAACTTCAACAATATCAGTTCGACGTTCAGTATCGACGAGGGAAATTCAACATAGTAGCCGACGCTCTTTCCCGTCAGCCCTTGGACACAGTACAACAAGCCAACGTAGAGCAATCCCAATGCAAATGGGTGCGCAAGATGATACTTCAAGTGACTCAGAAACCGGGAAAATTCCCAGACTACCGGATCGAAGGAGGCCAGCTGTACCGAATGACGGGGAATACACCACACGAGTAAGACCAGCTATGCGTTGGCCAGGAGTACCGCCAACGAGTCCTACAGGAGTGCCACGATCATCCGACAGCTGGACATCTCGGAACACGGAAAACCGGCAAGCGCGTAGCGCAAAAGTATTACTGGCCAGGACTTTTCAGGGAAGTCACCAAGTACGTACGCCGGTGCCCCACCTGCCAAAAATACAAGGTAAGCCAACTTAAACCCGCCGGCCGTGAACATCCGCCAAGACGATGAACCATTCAGCGTAGTATGTGCGGAATTCATGGGCCCATTTCCCCGTTCCCGTCATGGAAATACCATGCTACTGGTATTTTTGGATGCATTCACCAAATGGGTAGAATTAGTCCCATTCCGGAAAGCGACGACACCCCCATCACGAACGATCGTTCCGGAATCGGATTCTGAGTCGCTTTGGCGTTCCACATACATTCGTATGTGACAACGGGACCCAGTTCACCAGCCGGTCGTTTAAGACGTTCTGCAAAAACCTTGGGATGGAACTTCAGCACACAGCTCCCTATACTCCACAGCAGAACCCAACGGAGAGGGCAAACAGGACCATAAAAACAATGCTGGCCCTATACTTGGATGGAGCTGAACAAAACACCTGGGACGAGCTACTCCCTGAACTCTCGCTGGCCATAAACTCAAGCGTTTCAGACACCACAGGATTCAGCCCCGCCTTCATCATGCAAGGGAGGGAACCGAGACTACCCAATACATTGTTCGATCAAGCCACGCCGACTCACACTTCGAATCAGCCACCACTAGGAAAGAAGGCAGAACAGATGCAGGAATTGTTCCGGATCGTCAAAGACAACAGCGAGCGAGCATCCAACGAACAAAGACGGCACTACAATCTCAGACGCCGAGAATGGCGACCGGCCGTGGGGTCGCTGGTACTCCTCCGCCGCCACGTACTATCCAAGGCTTCAGAGGGATTCACTGCAAAGCTGGCGGCCAAATACGATGGACCATACAAGGTGCACAAGTTCCTGTCTCCTAATCTCTTACAATTACAGGTGCCTGGGAGTCGACGACGACGCACAGCCGGACTAGGGGACGTAAAGGAATACCATTACGAGGATACCGACGACGACGAGCCACCCGCTGCCGCCGAGGGGACCAAGTCTTGAGAAAAGGGGGGCCACTTGCTGGTAGTTGCGACTACCCAACGTCCCTCCCCATCAAGGGGGGAACTCAGTGACTGGCCACTCAAAACTTTTTTTTTGTTATTTACTATTATCACTAAAACTTTGTTAGACTAAGAAAACACGAGTTACATAGGAAGGAGCTAGGCTTAGTTTAGTCATTCGCACTCATAGGGATATCAAATATTTAAGATATACTAAGTTTCTTTTACCCGCAGCGCCATGAGTTCAAGAGACCCGAGACGCCCAGTGACGGGCACCGTAGGTGCAGACGACGATGTGGAGATGCAGGAGGCGCTGAACAATTCAATACAAGACCTCCTGAG